TTCGAAAGTCGAATCCAAGAAAAATAAGCGATTTTCAGAGAAGACCATCTTCAAGAATCAAACCCAAATTTATTTGCTCTCAATATCTGCCCAAAACCATTCGGAAACAACGCAAAATTTTCCAAGTACAAGAGCAGCCAGCCAGCCCGGCAAAACAATACATTTAGAACATCGTAAATAAAAATAAAATACAAGAGCACAATGCCACCAAATATGCAACCTCACCCAATTAAGGGTGCATCTAAATATTCTAGGTATTCGCAAGATTTCAGCACTGTAATAATGCAGGTATACTGAGAGACTAATTGAGTAACAATTCAAAACTTGCAGTCGTTTTAAATCAACATGCACCAACCTGATTTGCGTGTGCATGCTCGAGCCTCGGTAGCAGTTCACAAACCACTTTCTGCAAGGACGCGCGGCTGAGCCGGTGGTTATTGAATCTATTTACAGAAGCTTTTGTGAGTACCATAGTTTCCAGGTCATCCAAATGTTCTTTAAGCATATTCTCCCAAAACTTTTCGTCCTCATCGAGATTCGATCCTCTCAAAAGCTCCTTAACCTGGTTCAGATGCGCGACATTCCTACCAGCACCACACCCCATAGCAGTTGCTGCCCCCACAGCATTTGCAATAGTTAGCGTGTACACGAGTGGCAATTTGTGTATGAATCCAAATGCAATAGCTGCCACAAAACTGTCCCCACATCCAACAGTGTCCATGACATTCACCTGTTTAGATATAAAATATTGAAAATAATGAACAGCTCAGTCAAACAATGGTATTAGGGATTGAAAAGTAGAATGATAAGAAATGAGGCATATATATATGAAGTGAATGGCATATGTAGAGAGCATGTAAAGTGAAAATTACTACCTTAAACCCAGGGGCACAAGATATACTAGAAGGGGTGATCAGAATAGAACCTTTTGGGCCCATTTTAATGATCACCCACTTTGTGCGAATTCCTTTCCTGAGCAACTCTTGGCCCGCTAATATCGGGTCCTCTGTTTGTGTTAACGATTCAGCCTGTCAGCATAGTTCTTATCAACATAATCACAGGTCCGTGAAAAAATTCAGAAGCAATCATATGAAAAGCCTTCCGATCTACACAAAGAAACCACAACAAAATATATATATATTTTTTATAGTTATTATTTATTTCTTGGTGTGCATTATGTACGACGGAACTCAAGAAAGCTTAGAAACTAAACATTAGAAAAATATTAATTGGGATTCCCAACCATGGTACAGTTATTTAACCATTACCATATGTAACACAACAATTGGTAGATTTTCGTGGACTGGAAGACATAGAAACAAGATCAATGACCTCATCCCTCGCATGATTGAAAATACAGCATGATGTGCAAGACACTGAACCTTGAAACATATTAACTCTTTCACACAATAAAAGGTAGCATAAGGATTAGGTCGCATTTTAACTTAGAAAGAAGCTCAAAATGTCATCTTTAAAAATAGGCCAAACCAAGATACCTTGGACTATAACAGTACTCAGCAACTTCAAGAAGATAGCTAGTACCAACTCAGTAGGCATACTTGAGAAAGCATTTGTAATTAAGTATATTACATGCTGATTCACACCTCTTCAGAAGTCAAAAGAAGAACATCACTCATCCTCAGGTACTTGTCGAGGGCTTTTCGTTCTTCAGGTGTTCCATTAATCAGCGACTTCCCTCGTGGGCCAGGATCGAAAAAGACAGACGTCCCCACTTCAACAGCATAATCCAAAACATACATGAGCAATTTAGGTGACAGCTCATCAAATCCATAACCGTTGCAGAAAATGATTTTTGACCTTCTTATAGCCATCTTGGCCTCAATGGAAAGTGAGTTCATCCAACTAAATGCAGGCTCTTCACTGAAATCTGAACGGCTGATAAAAAGAAGGGAATATAACCTGTTCATACTACATGCTCCTATGTTTCTAGTAAAAGCATAATAAAGTAAACAGATCAACATTTTAAAACTGTTTGTAATACCTACAAAAGCCATGCCTTTGCAGAGGGTCCACCAAAACCCAGCACAGAAGGGTTTCGTAAGATGTGGATAAAGTCTCGATTACATCATTTTGCAGCTTATGCTCATCCATTTCAACCATTCCAATTCCTTCTTCATTAAGCACATCTAAGAGAAAACGGCCATAGATTTCGGAACCAACATGGCCAATCGAGACAACCCGAAGCCCCAATCTAGCTGCAGCTATGGCCATATTGCTATTACCACCAGCTTCCCAGAATTCCTGTCAATAACACTAAGTTATCAACCTTGTTTGCTGTAAAATTCAATGGAGATTCCAACTAACAATTTCACCAAAGGTAGACCCATATCTCTCTATAATTCATGCATAAAACAATAACTAAAACCAGGACTCGGACAACTCAAAAACAAAAACAAAACCAGAAAGAGTCGCACAATGGTAAATTTAATTCAAATCGCCCAAGAAAATAGATAGCACGGCACTACCTTATCCGGAGGCGACTTGGACAATTCTTCCATGTACGACTTGCGCTCATCCAATGACTTCGGGGGCAGTTTCGGGACGCTGAGCACAATATCAACGCAGAGGTTCCCGATTGTAGCCACGTCAACATCTTTAACTCCCGCGGACGTACTCCGGTCATCAACCACCGACCCACGGCTGAAGCTCGGCGAATTAAGGTGCTGCTTGGCGGCAGGGATCTCGGTCCCTCTACATTTCAAGACCCAGTTGTGACAGAAATCCCCCCTCGCCACGGAAGGAGATGATCTAGGGCTTTGGTGGGTTTTAGCTGGGGAGGGAGAAAAGAGGGCATAATTGGATTTTAGGGATAAGGCGACCTGATTATGCATTCAGGAAAAATGGGTTTCGAGTGAGTAATCGAAAAAAAAAAAGAACTTCGATTTGCAGCGGCGGTTAACGGCGGACATGATAAGATCGATAATCGACAGAGAGAAGAAAAGTTGAAGAAGATGAACAGAAGAAAATAAAATCTTTATTTCTGTAAAGGTGAAAAGTGAATACAAAGGGGATGATGATAGCTATTTATACTAGACCTAATACAAGGGAAATAGGCCATCTAGCAATTATAAAAGCCCAATACTAAAATACATAAAACAGGCCCAAACACAACATATTCACATAAGCCCAAACAATACATATATGCTAATACCCCCCCGCAAGATTAACATGGATGTTGTTCATGTTGATCTTGGAAAGTAAATGTGAGAAAAGAAGCTGGGGAAGGGGTTTTGTGAAAAGATCAGCCACTTGTTCTTTGGTGTTGATGTGCTGGAGAGTGATAAGTCCTTCAGCAATCTTCTCCCGGATTAAGTGACAATCAATTTGTATGTGTTTGGTCCGTTCGTGAAAGACTGGATTGTTGGCAAGTGCAATGGCCGATTGACTATCTGAAAAAAGACAGACTGGAGAAGAGTGATGTAAATGGAAATCATCAAATAAGTAAGCTAACCACTGTATTTCACATGAGGTTGTGGCTAAAGCCCTGTATTCAGCTTCTGCTGAAGATCTGCTTATGGTACTTTGTTTTTTAGATTTCCAAGAAATGAGAGAATTTCCCAAAAAAACAGAATACCCTGTAATACTCTTTCTGGTGTCTGGGCAACTTGCCCAGTCACTGTCACAATATGCTGTTAACTGTAAAGAAGAATGTCTAGGGAAGAAAATACCTGTACCAACTGTACCTTTGATGTATCTTAGAACTCTGTGAGCTGCAGATAAATGAGCCTTTGTAGGTTTGGATAAAAATTGGCTAAGAGTTTGAACACTATAGCATAAATCAGGTCTGGAGATAGTTAAATATAACAACCTACCAATCAACCTTCTATATTCAGTAGCATCAGTAAGTTCACAATTGTCAGAAGCAGCACATAATTTCAGAGTGGCAGACATAGGAGTAACAGCAGGTTTAGATGCCAGAAAACCAGTATCAGAAAGAATATCAAGTGCATACTTTCTTTGGCACATGTTTATGCCTTTATCAGAATGGGCAAACTCTAAGCCAAGGATATATTTCAGTTTGCCAAGATCTTTTATAGTAAAACATGAGTGTAAATGATGTTTAACTGATTCAATATCTTTCAAATTGTTACCAGCAAGAATGACATCATCAACATATACAAGCAAAGCCATAAAGGAAGAATTTTCAGAGTTATACATAGTGAATAGAGAACAATCAGCAGTAGATTGTTTAAAACCATAAGAAAGCAGACAAGAGGTAAGTTTTTGAAACCATTGCCTAGATGCTTGTTTCAAACCATAAAGACTCTTGACCAATTTGCACACTTTGTTATCAGAACAATAGCCAGGAGGGGGAGTCATATATACTTCCTCCTCCAAATCACCATGTAAAAATGCATTGTTAACATCTAATTGATGAATGTACCAGTTTTTAATAGAAGATAATGCAATCAAAAATCTCACAGTAGAAATCTTTGCTACAGGAGAAAAAGTTTCAAAATAGTCAATCCCTTCCTCTTGTGTATAACCCTTAGCTACTAGTCTAGCTTTGTACCTTTCTATGCTGCCATCTGAATTATATTTGATTTTGTAGACCCACTTACATCCTATGCAATGCTTACCTTTAGGTAAATCAGTTAAAATCCATGTATTTGTTTTTTCCAAAGCATCTAATTCTTTTTGCATTGCAGCTTGCCATAAAGGGTTTTTAGCAGCTTGTGTGTAAGTTTTTGGTTCAGTATGTTCAGAAATGGCAGCAGTAAAACAAGAGTGATCAGTGGAAAGCTGAGTATTAGATAAGTAAGAGGAAATAGGATATTTTATAGATTTCCCAGATGTGCAGAAAGATGTGTTAGAGGAGGAGGATTGAAGTGAGTGATCATAAATGCTGAGGTAAGAGGGAGGTTTAGAAACTCTGGATGATTTCCTTCTAGGTGGTGATAGATGAGTGGAAGTATCTGGATGATTTGTAGGAGAAGATTCTGATGGTGCAGGAATAGATGTATCTGTATGATTTGGGGGAGAATTAATAAGTGGTGTATTTGAAGGTGCAGGAATGGATGTAGTATCTGGAATTTGGGATAAAAGAGTATTTGTGTTGAAATTTGTAAGGGGTGTATCAGTGTAGGAGAAATCAGGGGCAGGTGGAAAAAGTTTATCATTTGGAGTTTCAGATTGAAAAGGAAACACACTTTCATAAAAATGCACATTTCTGGAGATAAATGTTTTCTTGGTATCTAGGTTGTAGAGTTTATATCCCTTACAACCTATTGGATACCCAAGAAGGATGCATTTTGAAGCTCTTGGATCAAATTTGGATCTGTTACTTATCAAAGTTGATGCATATGCAAGGCAGCCAATGACTCTCAAATGATCAAGAGTTGGTACTTTTTTGTATAAAATTTCAAAAGGTGACTTGTTTTGTAAGACAGGAGTAGGAATTCTATTAATAATATGTGCAGCTGTCATGATGCAGTCAATCCAGAATTTCAGAGGTAAATGTGCATGAAAAAGAATGGCCCTAGCAACTTGAAGTAAATGTTGATGCTTTCTTTCCACCCTACCATTTTGCTCAGGGGTTTCAACACATGATTTTTGGTGCAGAATGCCATGAGATGAGTAAAAATCATTTAGCATGAACTCAGTGCCATTATCAGATCTAAGTACTTTTATTTTCAAGTTGAACTGAGTAAGAATCATGTTATAGAAATGATGAATGCTCTGCTTAGTTTCAGATTTAACAGAGAGGGGATATATCCAAGTAACCCTAGTATGATCATCAACAATGGTAAGAAAATACTTATATCCTTCATGAGAGATGACAGAAAAAGGTCCCCATAAGTCACAGTGGATCAAGTCAAAAGGTGCAGATGCAATTGAATTACTGATGGGAAAAGATAACTTTTTCTGTTTAGAGAAATGACAAATGTCACAAGGTGCAATAGACATATCCTTACAATTAGAAGATATATGCATTTGGTGAAGTTTAGAGTAAGAAAGATGGCCCAATCTATGGTGCCAAGTCTGATTTGTTACAGCAGCAGAACAAACATAGTCATTGTTTACAGGTAAAGTAGATTGTACATTGAAATGTGCAACAAAATGGTTAGAAAAATGATATAGCCCGTCTTTCAGGTCAGCAGAACCAATCATTTTCTGAGTGGTTGTGTCCTGTAAAAGGCATTTTGAAGAAATGAATTGAACCAAACAATTTGTAGAGGAAACCAATTTAGAAACAGAAATGAGATTGAAACTGAAGCTAGGAACATATAAGGCATCATGCAGTGTGATATGATCAGATAATTGAACATTGCCTTTAAAACATGCTGTTGTGTGATGGCCATTTGGCAAATTAATGTTCACAGAAATGGATGTTGGTGTGGTGGAGAAAAAAGACAAATCACAAATCATGTGGTCAGTTGCCCCAGTGTCAATGATCCAGGTATTTTTATTCATAGATCTAGATACTAGACATGAGATAGAGTTAGATATACCTGCAGCACCAGCAGTGTCTGGGAAAGCAGTGGCAACAACAGCATTAGGAGCAGTGCCAGGAGAAATAGTTGCATTGTTCATTTCCTGTGCCTTTTTGAAAGCTATGAATTCATGAAAAAGAGCATCAGTAATGTTGGTATTCTGAGATGTTGCAATTGGGGCCACAGAATCAGTCTGAGTGAAGTTGGCAGAATGAGAAGCATGAGGTCTTGGACCCTTGGGGCCAATCCAATTGGCTGGATATCCAACCAACTGAAAGCATTTGTCAGCAGTGTGTCCATTGTAACCACAGTGTGTACAGCGGAGTTTCTTTTTGTCTTTGTTATAAGGTGGTTTTTGAAACTTTGGCTGAGAGGTATTGGTTTTGGCAATCATGGCTACAGGATCAAGAGGTTGAGGATTGTTGTGAAGTGTTCTCTGTGTTTCCTCTTGAAGAAGCAGGGAATACACTTTGGACATAGGGGGCATAGGATTGGATAGCAAGAAGTGGCTTCGCAGGGATGAATAAGAATCATTTAATCCAACTAGAAATTTCATGACAGAGTCTTGTTGCTGAGAAGCAACCAGAGATTCAAAAATGTGACATGTACATGAATTGAAAGCACCACAAGTACACTGAAAGATAGGTCTGTATGTCACGTATTCATCCCATAAAGCTTTGAATGCATTATAATAATGAGTGATGGTTTGAGAACCCTGAGCAATTGTACTTAACGATTTCTCAAGTTGAAAAACCCTAGGTCCACTGCTGAGAACATATCTTGTTTTCATTTCAGTCCAAACATCTTGAGCAGTCGTAAAAAATAGCAGAGATTGCCTTATGTCTTTGCAAATCGAGTTTAATAACCATGAAAGCACAAGATTGTTCGCACGCAGCCAAGATACATATAGAACAGTGTTACCAGACATCGATGGCGGAGGCAGAGATCCGTCGATGAATCCGATTTTGTTCTTGACACTGAGTGCCATCATGACGGCGCGTGACCATGAGACATAATTTTCGCCATTGAAGAGCTCTGCAACGATCAATGCTCCTGGATTGTCACTGGCATGCAAGTATAGAGGAGATGATGGATCGTCTGAAGGATTCACCGTATTTGCCATAGATCAGAGTAGCAAATGATGTAGATCTAGATCTCAGAACGTAGATCGAGAAAACAGAGAGAAAAAAAAATGAAACAACGGCGAAAAACTAGGGTTTCGATCAGGAAAACATAGAACAAGATGATGTATAAGATGCGGCGGAAGAACTCAGAGACAACGGCGACAGGATCGTCGTCCGGCGAATGATACCATGATAAGATCGATAATCGACAGAGAGAAGAAAAGTTGAAGAAGATGAACAGAAGAAAATAAAATCTTTATTTCTGTAAAGGTG